CTAGGCGCCCCAGTGTCGCCCAGAATCGCCTAGACACCTTGAAAACTATGGTATTTTCTCTTTTTGACCCATGTCTTTCACTCTTCATTTTGGAGTGTTCAACGTGCAAAAAAATTCTTCTCCTCAATGGTGTAGTGGCTGATCTTTGGCATAGATGATCTACTTTTAGGTTCCTGCTTAGGCCATTGCTCATCCTGCCATTGATCTGGAGATCATTTGTTCTTTGTTACACTCATCTATTCTACTTTTACCAAGTGTAACTGATAGTGGAAAACCTTGAAGAATGACATGTATAACTTGCAGGAAGCACTTAGCCTTCAAAAAAAAAAAACTTGCAGGAAGCACTTTGTGCTAGGTGTATATGTGATAAGAATTATTACGATTCAAACCATTCTTTGATGAGATCGTATTAGACCTTGTTTGGGATTTCAGCTGGATGTATAGCTTGCAGGAAGCACTTTGTGCTAGGAATCTTATTTGAAGTTGCTTATAGATAAGCACTTGGATGGAAAAGAACTATGCAATTTTGTGAAAATAACTTGTCAGCAGAACAAGGCAGTTTGGTTGTTTTGGAAACGCATTGAAGTATTATGGGTAGGTTGGCTATTGAAGAAAATTATTAGGACAGTTGGTCATCTATAAACTTATAAATGGATTAGGTGGACAATTTTATCATTGAAATGATCACAGGAAGAAATAATCCACTTCTTTTTTTTTTCGGAGAAGAGGTAAAGTATCAATTCATTAAAATAGGAAAATAAAGGACCCACGTACAACCAGAGGCTGTACAATGGGGTGGAACAAAACCAGTTAAACCACTATTCTATTCAAACTCAAAAAGAGAACTAAAGAAAGAACCATCAACGGCTAACTGTGCTGATGACCAGGAAAACAATTCCTCACTATTTTCTGCCACACTTTCTCCTGTTGACAGCCTTTGTTTTGGAGTAACCTTGAGTTCATTTCCTGCCATATCAACTAGAAGACTGCTCTTGGAATCAAATACCCATAATATTTTCTCTTTCTTACTCAAACCTTGTATCCACCACCCTTTTACAAAAGCATCCACTGAGGCTGGGCAGCAAATTCTGATACCAAAGATCCTGAAAGTTTTCACCCAAATGTTGTAGGTGAAACTGCAATGCAATAACACGTGGTCACCTGATTCTTCTACCCTGTTACATAACACACACCTAGGTGACTCAATCACCATTACCCTCTTAATCAAGTTGTCTTTTGTAAGAATCTTGTTCAGATACTCAATCCACATACATTTGTTCTCTATTCCTCACAAAAAGTACAAGCAGATCAGTAGCAACTAATCTCCACATCTTCCCATTATACTAAACTTCTACTTTAAATTATCCATGCTTTGCAGGCACTTAAGTAATTCACTAGATCAGCATTGATGCTTTTTCTTTCATTTTCTTTTCCAAAAGGGCTTAATATCTGCAATACCAAATGGAACCTCACCCTTTTACCAATAAAACGGAACCCTAGAGTTTTCTGTTTTTGGTGGCACAAAACATTTCTTACATACTATTACTAATATATCTAAAAATCAAGTGAATGAAATTAATTTACCTCTCAAAGGAAGGGCCTAAGGTTTCAATGAATTGATAGATAATCACTGATTATTTAATACCACAAAATTTTCTCATTGCTCCTGTAAGCTTTCAAGAAGGGTTTTTCCCAGTTGTAATTATTTTTTAAGTGTATAACTGTATATGCTTTTAAAGTAGATACTTATATTTATGTTGATATTTTGGAGGGCTATCCGTGTGAGTTTATGTTCTGGAATTTCAGACCCAATTAATAAAGGCAAGGGAGCAGCAACAACATCAGCAGCAACAGCACCAACCTCAACAACAACAGCATCAACAACAGCAGCAGCAGCAACAACAGCAAATGCAAATGCAGCAGCTCTTATTGCAGAGGCATGCACAACAGCAACAACAGCAGCAGCAGCAACAACAGCAACAACAGCAACAGCAACAGCAGCAGCAACAGCAGCAGCAACAGCAGCGAAGAGAGGGTGCCCATCTTCTTAATGGTACTGCCAATGGGCTTGTTGCCAATGACACTCTTATGCGACAGAACCCTGGAACTGCAAATGCTTTGGCTACAAAAATGTACGAGGAGAGATTAAAACTGCCAATTCAGAGAGATCCTTTAGATGATGCAGCTCTGAAGGTAGTGCTCAGTTCATAATTAGCATTAGAAACATTACTTTCTTTTTTCACATCTTTCTTGTTGCCATTTTTAACAAGTTAACAAATTTTCTTTTGCAGCAAAGATTTGGTGATAATGTGGGCCAGCTTCTGGATCCAAACCACACCTCGATGTTGAAGTCAGCTGCAGCAGCTGGCCAACCATCTGGGTACCTTCCATTCTCATTTTTTATCTTTATTGCTGTTCTTACCGTTAATGTTATTTTTAAATGTTGTTGTCATTCTGATTTGTTTATTTCATTAGTTTTAGTATGGGTGTATTCTCAGTTGGTGTGTTAGATGTAAAAGTTATTGTTTTTATTCCTTTATCATCATTACTTGATATACATGTATTATCTGATGTACTTGGTTGTATTAGATGTATATGCTGATTTTAACAGTTGAGTTTTTTTTTTTTTTTCCTCCAGACAAGTCTTGCATGGGACTGCTGGTGCCATTCCAGGGACCCTTCAGCAAGTTCAAGCTCGGAATCAGCAACTTCCTGGATCTACACAGGTGTGGGTTGTTAAGACTGAGCTCATTTTATGTCTTTCCTCTTAATGTATGCTATATGACTGGAATTGAAACAGGATATAAAGAATGAAATGAATCCAGTACTAAACCCCAGAGGTCCAGGTCCTGATGGATCATTGATTGGAGTTCCTGGTATTGACTTCTGGTTTCCTTCTTGTGTTGCCTTTGAGTTTAACTATATATGCATGCATGCATGTATCTGTGTGTGTGTGTGTGTGCAGAGGCTAAGTTCAAAAGTTGATTTTAATTTAGGACCATTTCTTTCTGACATTTCACATCATTTGTATCAGGATCAAATCAAGGTGGTAACAATTTGACTCTGAAAGGATGGCCACTCACTGTAAGTATTTTATAGACTTTATTATCAGTCTTCCTTGTCATTTGAATTTTATTCTCATTTATTTAACTGCATAATCATGACTATTAATTTGTTTATTATAGTGACTGCTAACCTTGTGGTATTAACGAGTGTTTTGAGTCATGTATGATTACTGGTAGAGTAAATTATGCATGGTTGCTGAGTTAGATCGGACATCACCTAAGGACCAATTTCTGGTGAAAGAAAGGAAAGAACATGTATTATGGTTTGCACAAGTGGCATAATTTCTTTACTTTTAAGGTTGTGGCTTCTTGGTTTTTGCAATGGATGGTATGGAGTGGGATCTCTTTAACTGTTTGCCAACTTTAAAATATTCTCCTTCCGTCAATGTTCTTGTTGTGCAGTTTTAAGAGTGAGAAGTGTAACCAGAGTGCAATGGGTTCCTAGAGGCAGAGATGCAAGGTGCATTCTTGAATGCAGTGAGGTGCCACTTTAGAAAGAAAATCGAAAGAAAAATTTAATATATAAGAATAGGCAAATCTAGATTCTGAAACAAAAAATAAAATACGTAAAATGCCTATTAGTTAAATTGGTTTGGTTTCTGCATCATGCTTTCAAGTCCTAATGGGCTAGAATGTATAAACTTTATAATCTGTAGTTACATCTATAATGTTGTAAATTATCCATTCTGTTATTTATCAAAAAAATTGTAAATTACCCACTTGAACCAAATATTTGTTAATTAATCAAATTGTAGCAGCGAGCCACAACTTGAGCCTTACCTGTGAGGATTTTTCAGAATACTATTGCTGTGGGACCATAATCTAAGAAAAGGGAAGCTGAACCCTTACTTCTCTCTTGGGATAAATGGGGCTTCATTTCACTGTCACAATTAGCAGCAATTGGATTTTCATCAATCCATGTGAACCGGCCAATTCCATGAGCCTAAAATGTTGCAATAGCAATTGTAACTCTAGTACGCCATTGAGTTGAGAGCCTTGGGACCAAGGCCCACAAAGTTTATCCTATTCCAAATATCCAATAAGTTTACTGTTCTATTCCCAGTAGGCCTGTTCACGGGCCAGGCTCGGGCTGTGATTTTGCCAAAACTTGAATTGGCCCTGCCTGAAAACTGATCCAGAAACAGTGTAAAATGTTCATGGGCCAAGCCTAAAGCCAGGCCCATGAACATGTTTAATTCCCAGACGATCCCCATCAACACAATAAGAAGGAAGCTTCTCTGGAACTGCACTAGAGCATCTATTCTTTGAACTGTGTGGAATGAGCACAACTCCAGAATTTTTGAGGATAGAAGACCCAAATTGATTATTGTATGGTAAGAGCGGCACATTTGGTGTTGACTAGAAAGTAGAAATGAGTTCAAAGGCATTGCAGTGGGCTCTATTTTTAGAGGATGATCAATGTTGGCAGGCTTCTATCATCATAGACAGGTGGCTTCTGGACCTTCGGTGGTGTTGGGGATAGACTGTAAAATTTAACATTGGCAATCTGGATCTGTTGGGTGTATGGTTATGTTCAGAGTTCATGCAGGAAGCATTCTGATGAACTCTTGAGGTCCAGCTGGAGTTGGAAACTCTTTAAAGACCAAACTTCTTGCAGTATTCCAAGGTCTGAATTTAGCTTTCAGTGTGGGCTGAAGTTGATTACTCGCAGGAGACTGTCAAGTGGCAGTAGGTTGGTTTCTATTGGGAATGGGAAGACCATGGATCCCAAGACTTCCGGTTATTGAAATTAAAGTTTTAGCTTCCAACTTGAATTGCTCATTCAGGTGGATTCTTAAGTTGGCCAGAAACTTGGCTTAAAGGCTGGCTAGGAAAGGTGTCAATAAAGCTGATCTAGAATTGGAGAAGCCAGGCCTGGGGATTAACATGTAGTTTTGCCATTTTCTTTTCATTATTTGTTCGGCCATCAAAAAAGCTATTGGTGATGTCAAACCTACTTCTTTAAGGGTTTCTCATGAGTCATGTGTTCTATTGCATATGTTTGTCTTTGATATGTCCTTCCTGTTTTTCCCCACTCATCCATCTTAGTATTTTTGTCTCATCTACTCTTTATTTGCTAGCATGTCCATTCCATGTAACAATTTTAGGCCTTTAGCCATCTTGTAATGCTTGGCCATTACAGTGTAATGGTAAAACCTCAGGCTGACAAGTGTGAGAATGTGGGCTTGAGTCTGAGAGTGGCTACTTGTGCAAAAAAAATGCCAGTCCACCTCTTGGTCCCCTTCCAACTTCCAAGACCCAGATAGTTGGGCCCAACATTGGGTAATGGCCTTTTCTAGCCATCTTGTAATGCTTCTCATTTAGTGTCATTTATGGGAAGCCCTTGCTGGTCTTACTATGAACTCAAATAGTTTTTATTGGGCCTATACTAGGCCTTGTATCCTGAATTACATTGTTGGACTAAGAGATTATTATGGCCAGCAATCAACTTAAAATGATAATCCGGCAACTATGTCATTTTTTTTTATTGTTTTCCATATTCATTTAAACAATACTTGGTTAGCATGAGAGATCAGATAAGATGGACTCCTAGATAGTTGAATTTGATTGCAGCTTTTTGGGTGGACTTGCTACAGCTGGGATTGGGAATGCATTTTTGTGATTTGTACAGTGACAGCTCTGTTACTGTGTTGTTTATTGTGGTGGGTGAAGCTGCCTATCCATATTTTGTGCATCAGTGTACATCCTTTAATCTACTCTCCTGCTTTTGGTATACTTTACATAATCAGTGTAGATGACTAGCCTTTGCTATATGTGTAGGGAGAATGAAGATGCAATGCATTTTTTCGCCCATTGTTGGGTGGCAAATTTTGTCTGGGGCTTTTTCTTCACATTATTTAGGGTTCAACCAAGCCAAACAAGTAATCCTAAAGGAATTTTTGCTGATTGGCCCCATCTACAAGGAAGCAGGAAGGCTAGATTTTTTCTGGAGTTGTATTCCTTTTGCTATCTGTTGTGGAATTTAGAAGGAAAGAAATGGAAGGTTGTTTGATTGGAAGAAGAAAGCTGTAGAAAGGGTCTGTGCAGACATTGGCGGCATGATAGTGGAATGGATTCTAGTTCTACCAGAATTTACCAAGACTGCCGTGGAGTCTTTTTGATCCAATTTTTGGTCTACCATTTAGGCGGATGGAGTCTTCTAGGAGTTTTATTTTATTTTCTGTTTTTGATGTCTATTCTATCTTGTTTGGTTCTTGTATTGTTGTCTTCTTTCATTATGGAAGTGGTCTGTATTATTGTGAGGGGTGCTATCTCATAACCTTCACTTTTTGTATTATCCTTTTTATGTTTTAATAAAATTTCTTCTATTTACTATTAATAAAATACATAATTGTTACCTTTTTTGGTTACATTTTGTATGTAGCAACTTAAACAGAATGGCATTGGAAAACATGATTCTTGTAGCCAACCCCATATAGTTGGGATAAGGCTTGAATGATATGAATGATGATGATGATTTGTAGGTAGTAACTAAAAAGATTTAAAGAAGGTTATAACAACTTAAAGAAAGATCTGAAAACAGTTTGTAGGCATCATTATCATTGCCATCATCATTGTGCCACCTAAGTTGAGTCAAAAGCCGTAATGCTTTATCCCAAGTGCTTGTTTTTCATTGAGCATGGGTTTTTTGGAATATATTCATAATGTTCTTTTAAATCCTTAAACTTTCATATGCCTATAAAAGACATTAACTTTCATAACTGGTCTTATAGGATATCTATTTTGACTTTATTATCTCTTTTATATACATTTTATGGTTTTATTTTTTGCTTTTTCACCCAACATCCTGCACTTTTAGATTTTGGCTGATATACATGTGCACCCAAGCCAAAATTGAAGGGTGGTTGTAGAGTCTTGCCCCTTGCCTTTGAGATCCTCAAGTATGCCATGCACAAGCTATCTAATCCTTAAACAAGGGTTTTTAGCCTTGTTAGTAATATATATTTCTTCTGTTGAGCCAGAAGTTCTTGCAAAGGGCTGGGTGTACTATTACTCAGTATGTACACCTAATTTTTCCAAGGAATCTGACAATTAATTTCTTCCCCTGTGGATATGAGTTACTTTGAAGTCCATCTTTAGGAATTTTATGTAGAAATTTGTACTTATTGTTCAATATAGCAATTTTATGCCAAGAATAATTTCAACCATAGGTGATGAGTCACTTTCAATAATAGCTTGGGCCTTATCCATGTTATGATGTCCAACCCATAACCAAGATGGCAAGAAAGCACTAGGTTACATTGGTAGCTTTGTAGTGGAATGCATTACCGTTTAGATTAAAGTTTCATATATCACTTTTTCCTTTCCTATGTTTTCATCTGGTTATAGATAATCCTGTGAATTTGCTCTAGTAAGATTTAGCTTTTCTAACCATTCTCATTTGTTTTACCCCTTAATAGGGAATTGAGCAGCTTCGTTCTGGGATTCTTCAACAGCAAAAGCCATTTATACAGTCTCCTCAGCCTTTTCATCAACTTCAGTTGTTGACACCGCAGCAGCAACAGCAACTCCTGCTTCAGGCACAGCAAAATATGAATTCTCCTTCATCCAATGAAGTAGACAGCAGAAGGCTGAGGATGCTTCTTAATAATCGAAATTTAAATCTTGGAAAGGATGGCCAGTCCAATTCTGTTGGTGATGTAGTTCCGAATGTTGGATCACCAATGCAAGCTGCATGCCCAGTTTTACCCCGTGGGGAGACAGAGTTGCTAATTAAGGTGTCTCTTTCCACCAATGATTATTCTTACAATTTTCTTCTGGTTTTTGAGCTATCAGTAATTCTTCCATGCTCTGGGTCTCTTTCATTCTCATTGAACGTGTTCCTGTGTAGTAGAAAATAGCTCAGTTGCAGCAGCAGCAACAACAACAAACCAGCAATCCACAGCAACCGCAACTTCAGCAACATCCACTTTCTAGTCAGCAGTCTCAGAGTTCAAACCACCATCTTCACCAACAAGACAAAATGGGTGGTGCTGGAAGTGTCGCTGTAGATGGTAGCATGTCAAACTCCTTTCGAGGAAATGATCAGGTCTGTCTTTTTTATGACTGAACTTCCTATTTCAGTTTTATCTGTCACTCATTTTTTCTAATGTTATCATAATATCTAATTTATAAATTTCTATTAGGTTCCTAATAAAGTTTTGTTCAATGCACTTTAAGGCTTCGAAAAACCAGAGTGGGCGAAAGAGAAAGCAGCCTGTGTCATCTTCTGGACCTGCCAATAGTTCGGGAACTGCAAATACAGCAGGACCCTCCCCAAGTTCTGCACCCTCAACACCCTCAACTCATACCCCAGGAGATGTGATCTCAATGCCTACTTTACCACACAGTGGTAGTTCTTCTAAGCCTTTGATCATGTTTGGGTCTGATGGATCTGGTACTCTAACATCACCATCAAATCAGCTGGTGAGTGGATATTCAACTTCTTGTATTGGCTTAACTTGGTGTCTCCTCAGAAAAAAAAAGAGTTTTCAAAACTTCTACTTGCTCAAAATTCTCATTAGCACTCCATTTTGGCAGTGGGATGATAAAGATCTTGAATTGCAGGCTGACATGGACCGATTTGTGGAGGACGGATCTCTGGATGATAATGTCGAATCTTTTTTATCTCATGATGATACTGATCCTAGAGACACAGTTGGCCGCTGTATGGATGTCAGTAAAGGTGAGATTAATGCCACATCGTGTGGTGAAACAAGTATTCCAGGAGTCTATAAAGATTTGAATTAGTAGTTGATTTTGATGGACTATTTTTTGCATTGAGACTGTTGTTTGTGATCTAAAACAGGCTTTGCATTTAACGAAGTTGGTTATATTCGAGCAAGTACAAATAAAGTTGTCTGCTGCCACTTTTCATCAGATGGAAAACTGCTTGCTAGTGGTGGGCATGATAAAAAGGTTAGGTCTAAATGGTGTTTTTTATTTTTATTTTTATTTTTAGTGTTTATAGTGCCGCAAACAAATTAGCCGACTTGATAGAAAAGCATCTGGTTTGTTAAAGAATAACAATTACCTATTGGTTTATGTTTGTGTTGCAGGCTGTATTGTGGTACACAGATACTTTAAAGCAAAAGAGTGCATTGGAAGAACATTCTTTGCTGATAACTGATGTTCGTTTCAGTCCAAGCATGCCACGTCTAGCAACATCTTCTTTTGACAAAACTGTCAGGGTTTGGGATGCTGACAATGTTAGTTGCCAACATATTACTTTTTAATGATTTGGCCAAAAGTTTGTTTGTTATTATTCCATTTTTGTGGAATCTGATTATTACTGTTACAAATTTTAATTGTCCTAGCTAAGACTTGTAGCAGCTTCTGTTCCTAAACATGATTTATTGTTACAATAGATTGTTTCTTAATTGTATCTTTATCCAATATCCAATATTTATGATGTTGCCAGTAGGAATGCTCTCGTATTTTAAATTGGTATTCTTAGTTTGTCTTTGGGACATTGACAATGTTAGTTGCCTTCATGTTTTATTTTTTTATGATTCATCCAGATTTTTGTTATTTTTCTTTCCATGTTTTTTCTGGAATGTGATTATTTATTGTTACAAATTGTTGTTTCTAAACATGATTTGTTGTTACAAAAGATTGTTTATAGTTGTATCTTTGATCCATATTTATGATGTTGTGTATGGTCATGGAAAATCTTGTAATGCAATTCCTGGATAATGTGTGAGATGTTTCTAATTGTTGTAGTTAAACTTCACTGCTCTTTGATTGGTTTTACTTAAGAGTCAAACGTTATGCCTGGTTCTTAATCTTAGGTACTGAATAGCTGTCAAGGTGTTGCTTAGGCAATTAAGCATCCTTGGTTGGGTGCCTTGTCTGAATGCCTTTATTTATAGCATCAAGGCACTTCTCTGGGTGACTAGGTGCTTGCCAAGGCTACAAAAATATAAGGCAGTCGCCTTATTATAATAATCATTAATATATGTATGTTAAAATATTTTATTATAAACTGTATATTTTTATACTTTTGTTTAAGTTTTACATTGAAATTTAAAAGTTTCTATAGGTTTGGGAATGGAGAAAGGAAGAAAGAAGAGAAGGGTTAAGGGGTTTGTTTTTCTTTTGTTTTTCAACTCTCTTTCTCTCTCTCTCTCACATTAAATAAAAAATGGTTGTACCCTTGTCCTTTTCTCTTTGTAGAGAACACTGATGTGGGCTCCACGGCTGTGGTCCCCACTGTGTTCGTATGACAGCACATGTAACCTTTGATTAGTTTGTCAGTGTTAGTTGGTTGTTATCTTAGACAGCTTGTTATCTTAGTTATTTATTTGTTTTATTTGCCATGTAAGCATTAAGGGCAATTCTGTCCTTTCCTACATTTAGTGAACATAAACTATAAATATTGAGAGAGTGGCAGCGACAGATTGATTCGATCTGTCCTTCCTTTCAAAACCCTTGTGTACTTCTGC